GAATAACTGCTGTGCGTATATACGAACAGCCTTGATGTTTATACCAACATCCTTGCCAAATTTTTTCAAAACCTCTCTTAAATTCATACTGGGATTAGACAATAGAGACAAAATAAATAATAAAGTGCATTAGATTTTTTTTTTTTTTTTGCTAAAAAATAATTTATAGTAATGAATTACCTTAATGATTCAAATACTAGGCATAAGTGCCCTTTATGCTCGAAATGTCTAAACAATCGAATTACATGCTTTTTATTTTCTGGATCAGATTGCATTAGTTTTTTGAGAATGTTTAATTCTTTTATACCAGCCCGATACCTAAAAATCAAGATCCATTTAATAAATCTTTCCTATAAGCAAAACAAAAAATAAAATAAAATAATGTTAGATAAATACATTGTTTCGTTGTTTCTGATAATTTTTATAGCTACATCTGTTCCTTCTTTTGTGTCTTTAGCTTTGACTACAGAACTGAATACACCTTTGCCAAGATGACTATATACGTGATATCGATTGTCAAGCATTTCACCTAACAAAACGCCTACGAAAAAAAAAAAACATTTAAGAATTATAAATCACCAACCAAAACACTATTAAAAGAAAGAAAAAAAGCGTACGATAATATCCTTCGGCATCATCATAATTGTCTACAAGACCGGCGGCATGATCATGCATCACTACCGGAACGTTTTTAACGGCCTAATTAATAGTAGTGAATAGTAATGAATGATATTAATAGAATGTTTTGACTAAAAAAGAAAAAAAACAAAAATAAAAAATAAAAATAAAAATAAATAAAAAAATAAAAATAAAAATAAATAAATAAATAATAATAATAATAAGGCTTGAAACAAATCTTACAGGTATTGATTTCGTGGTTTTTTTCGACTCTGGTGAAGGAATCACCATATCATCATCCGCAAACATGTCAAATTCATCAATCGTTTTCAAATTATTAGCTTTATGATCTCCATTACTTTCATTTAAAGTTTCCTTATAATCAGCTGCAGACATATCAACGTCATTTTCATCCCGTGGAACGACAGATTCCTGAGCATCTTTGTTCTTGAGCAATTCTAAGTCCTTGGCAGATTTATGATGTAATTGCCTTTCGTCATCCGCTATACGGTCTTTTGTTGGGTCGTAATCTGCAGCAGAAAATTGATCTTCTCCAGGAACAAAATCATCGATAGAAGGTTCAACTTTAGTTAAAGAGAACGATGTTGGTGATGCAGTTGTTGGTGTAATTGGAGAAACTACAGTGGGTGTGCCTGATAAATACAATTTAATAAATGATATAAAATATACAATAGACTTAATAGTTTGAATTGAAAATAAAAATGATACACACCAGTTGCCTCTTGTTTATGTTCCGTCAATTCCATTGCCGTAGGCCCTGTTGAGGAAATTTCATTATTCTTATTTTTATATTTTTCTAATATTGCATTACGACGTTTACGTCTTTCTTCAATTATTTTTTCATCATCTTCTTGTTCAAGAACTATATCTGTGGGTTCATCCATAGATTTTTCAACATTTGAGTCATTTTTTAAGTGTGAAACAGAACTTTGACCATCCCTAAATCGATTAATAAATAAAAAATGACAAATTTCGGATTAATTATACTAAAAAAAATAGACTAACAGACATAAATAATTAATAATTACTTGAGGATTGTACCACTGGGAACGGTATCATCTATTTCATATTCGATTATTCTTCGCGACGAATGTGAACCGTTAACTCTGTCGTCATATCGCCTACTTCTTTCTTTATCGTAATTTCGCTCACTACCATGACCTTCGTTTCTTTCTCTGCTATATCCTACCTCCCTTTCGTAACCTCTCAGAGTTTCTCTCTGTCCATAACGGTAATCGCGATCACTATCGTATCGACTACGAGACTCCTTGCTTCTTTGGCTCGCACTGTGCCGTCGTTCACTGTTATGAGAAGAATGGCGACGAGAGGATGAGCGGTGATGACCTTCATCGTCAGAAGAAAGATCTTCCCTACTACGTTTAGATTTACGGGAAGAGGCAGCAGAAGGTTCAATACGATTGGTGGAGACATCGCTACGATTTTCGTCGTCATCGACGACCATATGGTCGGTCGAGTTTAAGTTGTTACCTAAACCATCCTTACGGTGTCTGTCACCTTCTTCAACTCCATTTTTTCGACTATAGTCATGACGTCCGTGATGGCCATGACGACTACGATCACGGTCATGATGGCGACGATGGCTGTGGGAATGTTTGCTAGAATGTCGATGCCTGCGGTCCTCTCGGTGCTTACGATCTTTTTCGCTGTGACTAGCCTTCTCCCTGCTATTTATTTCCATTGCAGAGTCGCATTCTCGGCTTCCAGTACTTAGCCTACGATCCTTTAACGAATCTTCGGTACCTTGGCTCTCAGGTGAAGGTCGACCTGGACCCGATAGAGCGGCTAATCCATTGGTAACTTCTTCGATATTCCGTTTGTTTCCGGTATCATCTTCACTGTCAAAAGTTCCAGAGTCGTCAACAATTTCACCTTCTTCTGTTTCTGACAGTGTTGTTTTTGTGTCCATAAAGATCATTTGTTTTTTTGGTTTTTGTTTTGTTTTTTTTTTTTTTTTTTGTTATATATAAAAATTTAAAGCAATTTTACAAGAAAGATTGAAAAAAAAAGATCAGAATTTAAATGGGCTTTCAAACACAGAAAAGAAAAAATTTGGTCCAAAGTCACAAACTGAATGCAGTAAACCGTTAGTTATAACCCTTAACGTTAAGAGAAAGAAGTTGGTTTGAATGTTTAGTAGCAATTGACATGATTCTACGTATTTTACTTGAATTAGCGATCAGATTGATCAGATAACGAATGTACCAATCAAAGTACGTACGGACATAAGTATGTATACCCCATGTAAATATCTGATCTCGCGATCAAGGCGAAGTTAATTACTTTAAAAAAAAAACTAAAAAAGCCATGCAAAATTAATTAATTGGTTTTCATAACCCAGTGGGTCAAATTTTGGAAACTCTTAATAACCGGGTGGGTTTTCTTATAAAATTTTGTATGTGAATTTAGAAAAAAAAAAGCCGGCCGACCCGTCTATTTAAATTTTCATGAAAACCAAGATACGTGCATGACCTAATAACATAATAATAAATAAATATGTGCTGTAAATAAACTAAGTAGCGGTAAAATTTATGATTCAAACACTTTGGCATCGTCTTCAAAAAAAAAAAAAGCTTTTATTTAATAAACGTGCTTGTTAAAGCTTTGTGAAAACGAGCTCGCTCTCAATTCAAATTTCGTGTACAATATATAACGATAGCCCTGATCATCATTCCAAAATGACTTGTTACTTTCGTAAAATAATCCTTTCTACCTATTTATTACATTGCGTATAATCAAAAATAATTAAATGGGGTCTTTGCCTTGAAAATCGAGTTACGGAACATAGTAAATCATATGTCCCATACTTGATTTTCAAGGCAAAGACCCCAAATTATTATTTTTTTTTTTTTTGGCTACTGAATTAACCTCCAGAAACAGGCGGAATTATTGCAACTTCATCACCGGGTTTCACCATAATCGATTCGTCATCCTTGTCAACATATTGCATGTTAATTGCAAACATAGAATTTTCAAGAATTTTACCGAGATTTTCGTGACGATTTTTCAAAAGATTCGTCAAATCTTGAAGCGATAAGGATGAGCTGGTAGATGGAATAGAAATTATTTCAGATGAAATGTTTATAGCGTCACGAGCAGAAGCAAAATATAAAATTGTAAATTCCTGTTTGTCAAATAATATAAATTATTATATTTATTACATTATTAAATAACGATGACTTCGTACGTTAAATTTACCTTTGACATGGTTTTCTAGCATTTAAATAGAATAACTTCGTTATGATGATAGAGTTATACGTTTATTATCATTTTTAATTGGACCAGGATTAACAGATTACACAGAATTTCAGGTCGATGATTTAAAAATAAATACGTAACGATAACGGTAATACAGTAATACCACAGCTCTACGCAGTATTACCGCAGCCCTGCGCAGTATTACCGCAGCCTCGGTTACCAGATTAAATAAATTCTTGAAAATTTTCGCCAACTACAGTATCTGATATTTATTCACTTTTAAGTGTTCGCACGTACCATTATAATTTAACACAATGCAGAGATTGAAACCAGCACATGAGATTTATAATCGTCTAGTATGGGAAAAGGAACAATTTGGGGACTTTTTTATAGGATATGAAGATGTATGTATTTTTTAGATAATTCTATCACTATTGAATTTTGAAAATACTCAGATAAATAAATACCTTTATCTTATTTTCTTATAGAGGTTTCTAGGAATTATGGAAACAACTCGAGAAGAATTCGAAGCAGCAGAGATACCGGTATTGTTTTTTTCAGCTATATACAGTATCTATCATAGAAATAATTCATTTTATGACTATTTAATATATCAATTCTTTTAGTTTCATCGAATTCGTTATTTTAAAATCATCTCAAATGGACAAATAATATGGGATAGAGAAAGACGGTTAGATCTTATTACTCGCAATTACTCAAATCCAGTCTCAAATCCTTTAATAGATACGTCACAAATTACTATTAATATTGATGATTCCAATGTAAAACAACCTGTATCTTCCGTAAAATCCAAAAAGAATTATCTAAAACGGAGGCGAGAACAACTCAGAAAGAAATTATCGACTGAGGTTAGAGAGCAACTCGAAGAAGATGAACGGATCGAAGCGGAACATGATCAACAATATGAAACTAGAATTCGCGAAGTTGAGGAGCGCATCAAGCGGTTTCAAGAGTTACAAAACGGAGTATAAATTATTTGCGAGAGTAATACAAACCCCTAACTTGCAATTGTCGAATTTAAACCCTTTTATATTTACAAAATATCCCTATCTTACAAGATTTTAAATATCCTAAATACAATCTTTACAAGATTCTAAATATTCTAAATACAATCTCACGATTCTAAATGGTCTAAATGTAACTACACGACTCTAAATTTTCTAAATGTAACTATTGCACGGATCTTATGTAACAACCGTGCTTTTTTCATTTGGTTATTTCACGGGATTGTACGTCAGACACCGTGCAATAAGATAGTTATTGCAGTCTGGGAATATACCAAATTAGGAAATCGCATTCTAGAATGATCTACGAATAGATTCTTGATTTTGATTGGCT